CTTTATGCCAGTTCCACCCAGCTCTCTTGGTTGAGCTGACTTTTTGCCAGCCTCTGCTGGCAGAGTGGTGTAGAACTATGCAAATTCCACCTGCCAAACACTGGAGGAAGCCAGCAGAAAGTCCCCAAATGGAGTATTCCAAGGGTGGGGAGCGGGCAAGGTTGAGCCAGTCCAAGATCGACTGGATCCCAAGCTAACCTCACTGGGTTTGATTGTTTCTCTCTTCCAGCTTCCACCATGTCAGCCATGGCCAACAGGACCGGGGAAGCTGCAGAGACCCACCAGCGGGGTGGCAGTGAGTGTTTGGATTGCACCTCAATCTCCTTCTTGATTGTTATCCTCTCTTCTGACACCACTAAACCAAAATATCCCACGTGCGGCTTACTAAAAAATGCATTGACACATACACACAGGACAGAAAAATAATGTGATGATGACAGAGTCCATCTATTACATTTCACAGGGCTTCTTTTTGGAATGCTTCCTTGGTTAAAACTTCACTGGAAATCTTGTCAACTCACATGGTTATTTTTAGCTGAGCTCATCTTGTTTGGTGGCTTTGATGTGCTGACTTACTAATGAGAAAGATTTACACACAGAGAGGATATTAAGAATGCAGAGTCCACTGATGACACGGTACAGTTGGAAAGACAGATTAACATATAAAATTGCATCAAAGATGGAGAAACAGAGTACAGTGGTACCTCGGGTTAAGAACTTAATTCGTTCTGGAGGTCTGTTCTTAACCTGAAACTGTACTTAACCTGAAGAACCACTTTAGCTAATGGGGCTTCCTGCTGCCGCCGCGCCGCTGCTGCACGATTTCTGTTCTCATCCTGAAGCAAAGTTCTTAACCCGAGGTAATATTTCTGGGTTAGCAGAGTCTGTAACCTGAAGCGTATGTAACCCAAGGTACCACTGTACCTGACTTGAAACTCCTTATTCTGCAAGTTCTAAATTTAAATTAAATTATTTAATTTGGTTTTTCTTATTTCAGTTTTTTATTTTAATTGGATTATGATTGGATATATTAATTGGATGTTTTGTATTCTGCCCGAAGGTTCCATAAAATGGGCGGAACCTGATATTAAAAATGTGGAACTTGACTATGTGCTATGGGCAGGGAAAGGAGGGGTCAGCCCTATGAGGCAGAGTGAGCAAGATCATGAATGTCATGGGGGGGGGGGTGTCACGAGAGGGCAGAAAATGGTTAGGTTACTTAAACTGTTGTTTTTATTGTTCTTTTATTCCCAGAGAGAGACATTTCTGGAGAGTCTCTGTTTCAGGTGCCAAAAAAACTTGGCCAGCATTGCAGATTTTGCACACTGACTTGTGAGGGAGGAGGAAACCATTTGCCATTTCGCCTCAGGTGGCAAAATGTACTGGGACTGCCCTGTGGAAACAACCCCTCCTCATTATTCTCTGAAACATCTGGACCTTTGGGTCAAAAAAGTTAGTCATACCTTTCTTGCTACTTGAGTATATAAATATACCCTGTAGATAAAAACAACTTGTTGACACTGGCTATCAACCATCTAATTTTGACCTTCTAGAAAATTACAAAAATGAATACCTGTAGGTGAAATAGTATAAATGGTGAGAAAGCCTGATCAATCTTCAATCTAGCCTGATCCACATACACAAAGGTGGTCAGTTGGGCTATTAAAACAATTTAGCAGTCATAGTTTGGCCATAGTTTGAAATCTAAGCTAAGTAAATGGATATCTAGTGGGGGGTAGGTAGCTAATTCCTGCAGATAAACAACCCTTTATGGTGTTTAACGCACATGAAGTCATAAGTATTTTGAGGCATGAGGCAAGTAAAAATAGAGTCTTAAAACTTAAGGCCTTGGTTTTAAATGGCTTACTTTAGGTGCAAGTTGGGCATACCTAGTGGGAATTTTGAGTAGCAGATTCATATGCTACGTAATATCTGAAAATCACCTCAGGTTCAAAAGCAGTTTGCACTATGATAGAGGGGGATAACTAAATCCCAAAGCACCTTGAACATACCAGACAACATACCAATGATTCCTCAGTAAAAATTGGCAATGTGAGGTATGCCAATTTAGATTGCCTCATGATGAGGTTGGCCCTATACTGTCAAAAACCCATGCAACTTTTCCTTAATTAAACTTATTTAAGCAGAAAGGCCACATGACCCGGAAAAACTGTCTGTGGACAAATGTCGGCTCCCTCGGCCAGTAAAGCGAGATGAGCGCTGCAACCCCAGAATCGTTCACGACTGGACTTAACTGTCAGGGGTCCTTTACCTTTACCTTTTTTAAGCAGAAAGGCCACAGCTCAGTGGTAGAGTATTTGGCTTTACTTGCAGAAGCTCTCAGGTTCAATACCCAGTATATCCTGGCATGGCTGGGAACGTCCCCAGTCTGAAACCCTGCAGACTTTCTGCCAGTCAGTATAGACAATACTGCATTAGATGGGCTGGTGGTCTCATTGAGAATAAGGCTGTTTTCTATGTTCCTTGTAATAACACAGACAAGAAGCTGAAGGGAGTGTGAAACGTTTTCAAAAGGCCAAACTTTGCAACCAGGAGGGCTAAACCTTCCTTTGATTTAGAATTAAACTGGCATTTTCAAGTCTTCACTATCGCTCACACATTACTTTTCTGTTGTGAGCCTAAGAAGTCTTAAGTGTGCATGAATGTGACAGAGAGCCAGTGTGGTGTAGTGGTTAAGAGCGGTAGTCTCATAATCTGGGGAACCGGGTTCGCGTCTCCGCTCCTCCACCTGCAGCTGCTGGGTGACCTTGGGCCAGTCACACTTCTTTGAAAGTCTCTCAGCCCCACTCACCTCACAGAGTGTTTGTTGTGGGGGAGGAAGGGAAAGGAGAATGTTAGCCGCTTTGAGACTCCTGAAGGGGAGTGAAAGGCGGGATATCAAATCCAAACTCTTCTTCTTCTTCTTCTAACACATGCATCATAGACACAGCAACTGGCCCGTGAGAACTGGGCTGCAGCTCCCCACAGGAACCTGGGTTGCATCACTGAGCCAGCCTCTTTAAACCATAGTTAAGTTAATTTATGGTTTAACGGTGAAATTGCGGCATGCTTCTGCATGCTGCTGAAATCAGAGGTGTTTTCTTCCTGCTGTGCTGCCAGAAGTTAAGCTGCGGTTCCGGCTTATCACTACGTCTGAACCTGGGCTTGTGATGGTGCAGCAGGGTCAGGGGAGGAGCGAAGTGCCTGCTATTTCAGTGGCACGAACCAGGAAGCTGCACTGTGTCACCTTCAAACCATAGTTTAGTTTAACTATGGTTTAAAATGGAATGCCGACATATGACCCAAGGCTATGCCAAAGAAGCTTGCAGGCTGAACTCAAGAACTAAGTGAACTAGTACAATGCCTAACCCTTCTGCTGTTGCACAACTTCAGCTCAATCGTGAGGCAGGCCCTGCGATCGGCTGTGTGTACGGCAGAAGTTTCAGGACGCCAGATGCCTCAAAGATTTAATTCCACGTTAGATTTCCGACTGGCACTTAGGAGAACTCCAGCTGCTTCTGATTATAGATGTTAAGCACTTGAGAGGCAGCCAGAGGATATGTTCTGATGCCATCCTGCTGATGTATATGAAGACAGTTATACTTTCACCTGAAGTGCTTATAATTTGCTCACTTTAAAACTACTGCCTCTCTTCTTCCCTTTTGCAAACCTAGCCTCCCCCAGCACTCCACCTATTGCACACCATGTAGAGCTGAGAAGCAGTTTGACCTTCTCATTAAAATGAAAGAAGTTTGACAAAGCACTGAAGTCTATCATTGCAGGAGGAAACGTTATGCTTAGAATTGTCATGCAGCTGAAAGGCTGAAGGATTTGGAATTGCGAACATCTGCTTCGAGTATTATTATTTTGTGGGCTTTTCTTTTCCTTTTTTTTTCAAAAAAAGGAAAACCACACATATTTTGCAGAGCAGTCATAATCAGGCTTCGCTTCAGAACAGGTAGCACCATTACTCCTCTTGTACCAAACAAGAGACTTGATTAGAATACTAAAGCAGCCTATCTTCCTCATTATGGGCATAAATACAGGACTCATATTTGCAGTGTGTGCCATTCGGAGGGTACATATATTTAAAAAATCGCTTTTCACAAAAGACTTTTATTCCAGACTTGCTTATGCAGCTCTTAAATCTGACATGATTGCCTCATTTCAGCATTAAAAACCCCAATTTAAAAAGGAAAAAACAAATGGGGGAGATGCTTCACACTTCTTTCCTATTGTTCAAACATATTTTCCAATGGGGATAAAAAGTTGTGTTTTCCCTCCCTTTTTAGATGCATTTATAATTTTCTGCCATCTACTTTTCCTCCCTATGCCTAAAGTTGAAAAGAGATGGATGGATCATCTGACGAGCACACAATATAAAAAACATATATCTTTCTCACTTTACAATCACAAAAAGATATGAAATATACATGCATCTGAAGTGTTTGCCAAGTCACTGATTTCTGCTTTGCTCTACAGATTATATAAAACTAAATTACTGTCCTTTATTGTGTTGTGTATATAAACCAGATGGGTTTTTAAAAAAGTGGCGATTAAAGGAACAGATGCAGTAGGATTGATGGTAAGAAAAACAACAGGGTTCAGCCATATAAGTCAAGCAAAACAAGAGACAAATTGTGGTATAAAATCTAGAGATTTGTGCAATCAGGGACAGGGGTGTTTTAACCCTTACTGTGTGATGTGATGTGGATAGTTATTCATCTTTAAAAATTCTTTGGAGTGGAAAATTTCTTTATTTCATCATTCTGTCTACCAGATGAACAGAACAAGCAATTTTCTTTTCAGATCGTAGTCTGGAGGATGCCAAACAAAAAAAATGAAAGATACTGCTGCCCATAGTATGTGTGTAAGAAGTGAGAGTTCTGCAGAAGCGAATGTGCTGTAACAAATCATGTCACTAGGATGGCTGCAGTTTCAAAGATCCTCCACCACGAGAAAGACCACAGGTGGATATTCCACCTGAATTGTCAACATACCTGCTTCATCATAAGAGACAGTCAACTTTTCCAGCATTTCTCGGTCAATGGACAGAATTTGTTGTTCCAGGATGGTCTGGTAAGACAAAACACTATTCTCTTTGTCCTTTTCATAGTCTTGAAGGTGCTGTTTTAAGACTTCAGGTAAGCGGGATTTCACATATTCTGCTGCTGACTATAGAAACAAAGAAAGAAAGAGAAAACCCAGTTAGTTTTGTTTGGGTAAAGCTTAGTTACTTGATTTATCTGTTTTGTCACATTTCTCCTTGTACAGGCATATTTAAACACATGCAAAAATATTAACGTTTTCAAAAAATGCAGTAACATCAGAATTGTGAAATAATAAATAAATAAAAGGATGTACTTCTTCACATGACACACAGTTAAATTCCAAAATCCATGACCACAGAATGAAGATGAAGTAATGGCTAGCAATGGGAGGGCTTTAAAATGGATTTAGACAAATTCATGGAGGATAGGATATCAATGGCAACTAGCCATAATGGCTATATATTGCTTCCAATATCAGAAGGGGTATGTCTCTGAATACCAGCTGCTGGGAACAACAAACGCAGAGAGTGCTATCGTACTCAGGTCCTGCCTGCAGACTTATTGCAAGACATCTGATTAGAACAGGGTGGACTATTATGTTCTTACCCAAGGCCAGTCAAGTTTTTTTGGCGCCTGAGGCAGAATATTCCACAAGTGCCTCTCCCACTCCCTGGCAGTATAAACACACACACACACAAATAAAAATTAAAGAGGAAAACATTTGCTGCCCTTTATGACTCCCAAAGTCAGCCACTCGGGCGGTTGTCCCCCCATGCCTAATGGGAGGTCCGGCCCTGTTCTTCGTATGGTTCTTGATTTCTGAATTAGCTTCCCCTCCCCTTGAAAAATCACGTTGCAGTAATAAGGTGTTGTGAGCATTTGCCTCCCCTGAGACATAACGACAACAACAACCACTTACTATTTATACCCCACCCATCTGGCTGGGTTTCCCCAGCCACTCTGGGCGGCTTCCAATAAAATATTAAAATACAATTTTAATTTCTGGATTTCTTTGGATCTGGTTATCACAGATAACCCTATTTACTTCTGGTTTCATGGTAACCATGTCTGTGGGCTCCACATCATTTTTAAAAAAGAAATATTATCTTCTAGATGACTACAAGAAACTAGATATGAATTCCCCAATATATCACTGGAGTAATATTTACTGTTGCAATCTTTGTAAAGTGATATCACAAGGGACTAAGTGAGGAATGAACTAACCTTACTTAACACTGTGAGATTCTTAAAACGTATATAAATATGGCTATTGCCTTAGGTACCTCCCCCCAGGTACCAACTCACAGAACACTTTGGTTCCTACTATCATTGCAGCTGGTATTCAAGAATGGAGAATACATTCTCTGACGTTACAAAGGAATTAATATACTGAGGAAATCTTTTTTTTGACAAATCCGCTTATTGCCATCTCAATATTATATGAGACACTGGGCACTTTATGTGGCAGCTATTATTTGCCACTTATATGTGCAAACGTGCTTAACAGAGATGCATGGCTCCAAGCAAACTGTGGACAAAGAGCAGGGAGTTGTGGCCAGTTGTGGCTTTTCTAACATGTCCATGCTTCAAGAAATGCATCTCCCCTCCACTGATACGGTTGCTATATGTCCTCTTTTTCCAGGACATGTCCTCTTTTTCAAGGTTATGTGAAATGAGAGTAGTCATAGCGATCCATAGTTAAATATAGAAGTTGGAAAATGTGCCCTCTTTTTCACTCTTCAAAAAAAATAAAAATGCAACTGCCACGTAAAATGTGAATTGTTCATCAAGGAAAGCCTGAATTACAGTGAATGAATGGAAGGCGCAACTGGAAGCCCAATGGCTATGATGTAAACAATGGCTGTGGTGTAAACAATCATATGTTCGTTGTTTACATTGCTAGATTCTTGCTGCTGAACAGCCACCATATGCCCAACTTGTTAAAGATGCTTGGCAAATCACCAATATACTGGGCTGACTCAAAGTTTTTCTAGCTGAAGGATCATTTAACGCCTCAGCAGGGTGGCTGAAGAGCAATGCTTGCTTTTGGTAATTTAAGTACAGTTCCCTCAATTAGTCATTGTTTGATTAAATTATTCAGAACATTTAGCTATAGCTAAATTTGGCACTCAACCACCAATGAACTGTTGTTAAATAGCACAGATTGCCAATAAACAATATAACACATCATTATTTGAGCCAATGGCCTGGAAGATATCCAAAATATGCAGAGTTGTTCAGCAGGAGAGCAAAGTACACAATGTTGAATTTGCATTTTAAAGAATACACAACATCTTGGCAACATTAAGCCAAATATATGGCAATGCATAAACTGATAGTAGTAAGCTTCTAACCCGAATAGTAAAAGGTAAAAAATGGTTAGCAAAGGTAAACAACAACAGTAACCCACCAATAATGAGCTAAGAGACCCTGGATAGTCAACATGGTGCCCTAAAGATGCTGCTAAACTACAATTCCCATCATTCTTGGCCATTGGCTTTGCTGGCTGAGGCTGAATGGATTTGGAGTCCAACACCTTCTGGAGATTAATGACTTATAAATTATTTTATGAAGAGCATTCTAAGACAAGAAAACAACTCTTGAATTTTGTCCCATTGTAACCAATATAAGATGAAAAGTTTACCAATAATTTGCTACCCTTTTAACCTTTACCCTTTTATGGTACTCAAAAGCTGCTGCCTGAAGCTGCCACCTCACTTTGCCTAATGTTAGAGCCAGCTCTGATAATGCCACGGTGCATCAAGGTTGAAGTAAACGTTAACAAGTGGTGCACTTCTTTAATACTGGACAAAACTTATAAACGTTGCCACCTGGAATGTATTCCTGAGATCACTTTTGCTACCGAACTGAAGAACTACATCCAATGAAATTTTGCCCAGATGTGTGTGTGTGTGTAAATACCGACAATGCAAACTCATTCCCAGATCAACCCAGAATGTCCTTTGACCTCTTGTGACCAAGCACAGTCCACATGGTTGGTGGAAACTGAAATGGCTCTACTTGAGCACACTTGGGGAGATGCAACCTTGGAAAACATGTGCTGCTGCCCCAGTTGTATGCAAGTCGTGAGCCACAGTGCAGGCAGAACATAACCAACATGGCTAGCAGTCACTGATAGTCTTCTCCTTCATGAACTTGTCTAATCCCAAAGGCTTCCAAGTTGGTGGCTGGGAGCAAGTTCCATAGCTTAAGTACTTTCTTTTGCCTGTCCTGAAACTTTCAAAACTTAACTGCATTGTCCATGAGTTCGAGAGTTGTGAAAGAGGGATAAAAACTTTTCTCTATCCCCATTCTCTATGCCATGCATCATTTTTATACACTTCCATTCTTGCTTGCCTTTTCTCTAATGCTCCACGTGCCTTTCCTCACAAAGAAGTTGCTTCATCCCCTTGATAACTTTGGTTGCCCTTTTCATAAACTTCCCAGCTTTAGCAATCTGAGTGCAGAGGAAGAAATGGGGGGGGGGAGTCCTGTTTTCATCTACTGAATATATCTAAAGCTTTTTTTATACCGCCCTCCAATTCTATACTTCCCAGGCAGTTCTCAATAAACACACAAAAAGGCACTGTTAAAAACCCTAACAATTCTTTGTATCTTCCCTGTCCCTATCAAGAAAGCGGTTTGTGTTCCTGAAGCAGAAAAAGTTCATGCATCACTCCATGACCCCCATTTTGGATGTCAGAAACAAGCAGGACTTGATATGCTTTTTGTTCCCTCTGGGAGTTCAAGCATCTGAGTCTGCTCTAAGTCTTAAGGCGGCAAAGGCAGAGCCTGCTGATAAAATATGTTGAGGTTATATGTTGAGACGCCGCCCTTTCTACTTTTAGGAGGAAGTCTCGCTGAGTCTTTGTGCTGTGATTAAAAATAGGGCAGAGTGGCAAGTCACAAAACAATGTAGGGTCTTCCATTTTACTCTCTTTTGGGTGAAGAAATGCAAGACGAAACTTTGTCCACCACTGATTCCGGCTTTCCTGTCTATGACACTAAACTACAAACAGAGAAGGAGGGAAAATATTTCCTTCTCTTGGCTGCAACCAAAGTACAATCAAAGACGACATGCAATGGGAAAGGACCCAGTGAAACTTTTGTGCTTCCTTTCCAGTTTCCAAGGAAAATGGGCTCCAGCACAGGAAATGCTAGATTCTGCTTGTGAGATTTGGCTATAAATTGTCCCCTGCAATCCAAGTCTCGTTTGTTTCTGCAGGTTTATATTTAGTCTCCCTAACTCTACAGCTAATTGTGTTAGGAAGCCCTCACATATCACTGAAGTTATATTCAATTTGTCTAGAAGCCAGGCAGTGCAGAACGAATGAAATTATTCCATCAAATGCAAATTAACTTGCAACATGAGCACAAGATATTTAATGCTAGGTTTTAAATAGTCATTTGCTTCCAGCACTAGGAAGCGAAAAGAAGACACGCCATACAGTAATTGTTTTAGTTCATCGGCACACTGGTGTCAAGCTCAGCTAGTGCCTGAGATGTGCATGTGCATTTTTGAATGGCTCACATCGTATAGCATTCTGATCTAAACACGTTTGCAACCATGTGGGTTAGAAAATACATTGCACTTTTCCTGATTTTCAGTTATCACAGCATAGGCAATTAGCCCCTGGGGCCATTGTGGAATTGTGAAAGAGCAGCATAGGAATGTATGAAGCTGCTGTCCTTGCTAACTAGAAGCAGCTGGTCTATTCTGCTACCGTCAAACAGGGATGCAGGACAACTTTAGACAATAGACACCTTCAGACAACTTAAGTTTACACTGACTTGACTCAGGGTGATGCGAAAGTAGTAAATATTTGCAAAGCACTTGGGATTACTTTAGTACGTGCAACAGAAATACGAGTTGGATCCAGATGAGGTTCCAACTCATCTGATGAAGGAAGAGCCTCTGCGTTCAACCCAGTGTGTGCAATATTTCTTTTCAGTGAATCAATGTAATTTGTCTTAATGCTGGACTTCAGAATGTTGCAAAGGGCCTCTGCACATCTGGAAATCTCCAGTCCTCTTTGTATCAGTTGAGCACAATTCAAAGATTTGGGGGGCAAATCAGCATTTTCTCTAAAGCAAATGGTGGCGCGCGCGCGCGCACACACACAC